TTGTAGTCCTGAGGCACAGAGTTCAAAAAGTTGGCGTCAGGTTTCGAAGACAGGTACGTACAGAAGGCTGGTCCAGGCCGCAGTAATTATTGTCTGTCAAACGCCCGTGAGCCTCTAGAGAGGGCGCAGAGAGCATAAGGCCACTTACAGAACTGCACGTAAACCGCATCAAAGTCGGCTTCGTTGAGAGCAGCACCGATGTATGCATCAGGGTACGGGCACTGAGGTGCCGCCGTGATGAGGTACTGCTTGCCCGTCGGCGCAGCAAGCGAACGAATCTGGCTCACGAACGCAGCGTAGTGCGCGGGGGTTCCGCTCTCGATGTCCAAGTCAAGTCCGTCGAGAATCGCGGTGCCGAAGGGACGTGTCGAGCTTGAGCCGCCGAGGAACAGGTTCCACACTTGGGTCGCGAAGCTCTGCGCCTGCAAGTCTGACGAAAAACCGACTTGCCCAGTCGCGCCGCCCAAGCTAAGCGTAATTGCCTTGCCCTTGGACTGACACAGTTTGATATCTGCCTCCATGGCAGACTGGCAGTTGGCCAGTGCGGTGCCGGAGAAGACAGGATCATCCCATTGGCTACAAATCTGAAACCGACGCTTAGCGCCCAGGCGCAATGTTTTGCGTAGAAAAAGTCTCACATTGGAAAAATCGATGACAGGGTCGCCACCTGTACCCTGAAAAATGTACAGGAACGCCAATGGGATGGTGTCGATAGTGTCGTCCTGGCAGTAGAAGGAGAGCCGTTGCTGAGACCCAGCACCGTCTTGTCCCCAGTACCTACAGATGCACGTTAGGATCTATATGGACGCGACTGAGCACCACAGGCACGCACACAGCCAACTAGATGAGCACGATGTCAGTAATCTATCAATGTTCGACGCGTGGTGAAAGCACGTACGTTATCCTTCCTCGTGATGTCGAAGGTCATCACACGCGTCAAGAACCCGAGGAGGAACAGGCACGCCAGGGTGCGCATGCCGGTGAACGGGGTGGCCATAGACAGCATCTTGACGGAGGAAGGGCTCGAAGGGAGGAAGTCCGAGGGATCTCCTGGAGAACGAAAATTGCTCGGAGAAGTCTTTTATACACGTCCGGACGGAGATGGTGCCCTCATGGCCGGCAAATTAGGTCGGCCTGGGAGGGGGTCGTCTTGGGCATGAGACAGGGTATCATGCTTGCAGTGAATCTTAATCTATGAGTCCCCATGCGCACCGCGGGCGAAAACAAGGACACACCTCTCGAGGTATCCCCGCGCACCAGGGCGGTAGCTGCCTGCAGAAGACATATGACCCAGCGTTTTGCTCATCTTCTATAATGACACAAGCCAGCAGGACACCCGGCCAATGTGCTCACGGCAGGACCGGGCGCGGAATAATGTGTCTATTCGATGAAGTCCGCCGAGTGTTGCTGGGATGTGCAATGTCGAGCTTTGGTTATCAGCTGATGGGCCTAGATTCAGTATCCCCGCCAGCGCTCAGAGAGAGACTCGTAGCCCCGGAGTTTTGAACCTTCGGAATTGCCCGTTCCGCCGCGCACGCAAGGTGGCCGGAAGCATAAACCAGCGAATCCTGGCCAACCAGCATAAGATGTGAGCGCTAGATGCCATAATGACCCATGGTCTACGAACCTCATGCTGCCCTGATAAATTCTCGAACATGTGCAGAACCACAGGATGCATATGCATGCAGGAAATGTCCCACGCATTAACGAACGCGCATCAGCCAGAAAGACAATAATGGAAAGTGGTACTCGTGCTCGATGTGATAGCGACACAGGGTACGAACACGTGCGCCTGTATACCGCATCTCGCGCGAGTCGCGCCAGGTCAGTAGGAGTGCTGAGCGTGCCGGGCCCTTGTACCATTTGACAGTACATTCTGCGTTCGCACGTTCTACACGGCATGAGAGTCTTTTTACTTCAGCTCCCCGAGGGCAGGCCGCGGGCCCAGACCGAAATGAAGCGTCGCTCAACTTTCGTAGAAGACCGGTAGGCCCCAAAACCGCATAAACTTCATTTTCGTCTCTATTCGTCAAGACGAGATGATTCGCCACGATTGTCGCGCGAAAATCGTTTTATGCCTAGAGGTTGCCGACACGCTGGAATGGTTCCGTTGCAACCTTCGACGCAGAATCGTTACGTGGCAAGCGGCGATCCGCCCATACGTACAATAGCTGAGAAAGAACTGGCGGCAGACATGAATGGAGGGTATGTGCAAATGGAGCTGAGTTGACTCACGTGGAGGAATAAGCAGCCGGGGTGAAGGTTCTGGAGTGGCAAGACAGCCTAGAGAAAATGAGAAATCCGTCGGGTAAATGGCGGGATAAGTGGTGACGTGATCATAGCTTGCGCACTCAGGCTCAAATGAACTGAAAGTCTGAATCTTTATTGGAGAGAGCACAGGCAGAGCGAATACGCTGGCAGCGGTGTTACCAGAATAAAATCAAAGCCCCAAACCAGAGAAGACGGCTGGTGCTGATTTGCCGGGAGCCGCATCATCTTCATTATTCTTCGGTGACTTGGCTGCCGTGTCTTGCGAGGGTTCGGGTCGGGTATTGAGCTCGTCCACGTACCACCTGGGTAAGAATCCGACGCGATCGTCGCTGGCTTCTACCTCCGCTATTCCCAAATCGTCGAGGAGTGAAAGGGTGACACCTGTACCTGGCAAGAATTTGGCACGCCAGACGCCGAGCGAACTTGGCTGGGATGCGAGGATTGATCTGAGGAATTCAATGAATCGGTGGCCCCAGCCCAAGCATATCGATGGATCCCATGCATGCGGCTTTCCTCTGACTAGGCGAGGAATTTGGACTGTCTTGAATGACTGGATCGTCGAGAGTTGACCTTGTGGTGTCCGGAATCCAACGACGATCTCCTGCATTGTACCGGCATCAGGTGCTATGCTACATCCGGAGCACCTCCGAGACGTACCGGTACGCCAAGCAGGAAGGACTGAAAATAGAATTTGAGCAGCTTCCTACGTGGCATGTGAGTTATGACCATGCAATGATGATATCACGCGCACTTTTCAAACTTGGCTTCATCTTGTGCGCCTCGTATGGTGAGCGACGTCTTGAGCTCGATCAGAGAATCAGTATTACCCTGAAATCGCCCTGTGAACCGGTGAGTCGATGCAGAAAGTTGAGCAGTCGGCGCGGTGCGCACCTCGTACACAGTCGACCTCGCCTCCTATTACGAGCCGCTGACTCCCCAGCTTCGTCTTAACCACGGCACACCACTGGACATTGGTGTCTACATCTCCGCCCCAGCCGTAAGGATGGGACTCAGCTTCGATACGCACTTCCCTTTGTTCTGGACGGAAAGATGTGCAGTAAGATTCGAAAGAGTACCCGAAGTACGACTGTAGTCTATGTCGGGGCTCCATGTCTTCCCTAAATCGACGTTAGTGGTCTATATCGGACGTCGATACAAGGGATTTTACTTCTGAAGCAGCTTCGCGTCAGTTAGATGCTCTTCCAGGTATAGCGTGCCGTCGACGAGCATGACGTTCAATTCCCACGCATCTCGGTCTTCATAAGGAGCGGTCAGTATCCTCCCTCACCAGAATGGAGGAGCGAGATCAGTTGGATAGAATTATGAAGTCAACATAAGACTCACTTGGTCATGACACCACGCCATGAGATGACAGCAACGTCCCTCAACCACGCAACGCCATCTCCACCACCAGCGTCGACTCGCGAGCGATACTTCAGGACAGCCTTGAGCAGACCGTCGAGTCGTCCCTTCTCCTCGGGCTTCTTGATCCATCGTTCATAGCCATACTTAAGCTCAGCACGTAGTGGCGGCTCGACATAGTAGCGCAACGCGGAGTCCGTGAACTCTAGGACCCGCTCCGGCGTGTAAGAGAATGTCAGTAGCGTGCTGGGCTGCTGGAAGGGTACGGGAGTAGTAACTTTGTTCTTTGAAGGATATGGAAATTCATATGTTTCCGGTTTGCTATCCTGGCTGTCTTTGTCGGAGGATTCAACTTTCGGTCTCCTCGCCAGTCTCTCGGACTCGGCCGCGTCCTCAACGTCGACCCCGGGGGCGGCTCGCTTCTGCGACGACATCTACACGTGCCGGTTGTTATTCTATGGCACTCATGCGGGGAGACTGCAGGCATACCGACTTTAGGCTGGAGGTAGCGGGATCAAGCCGGTGAGGGGTTGTAGCGAAGGAGCAATGCCCGCCTCGTTCTAGTCTCGTTTCCATCCGCTCTTAACTCCGACGTGTAAACACTGTCGGCCAGTGCATCGGACTTTGAAAGCAAAGTGCACTGGCTGACTGCACATCACCATTGATGTCCGACGCAGTCTCCGACCGGCGAAGTCCGGGCGCGCTAGACTAGCCTCGTTCTCGTGATGATCACAGATGATGCAGCGCATGGTCTGATATGGAAATAGTTTGATACGCCGACGTCACTTGGTTGACCAACAACTAGCACGACTGCGACAGAACCCCATACAAAATTATAAAATGCAAGGAAACCGCATAATAGCATTTCCAATTCTCATAACCTACTTGGAAGACTTCCTTGAATTCAGGCTTACTTTCATATGCTGATCTACTGTATCTGCAGAGGATAGCGGATCAATGAAGTATGGCCATTTTGCGAGAGAACAAAGCGCACGGCAAACTGAGCCGACTCGACGTTCGCCAAGGTGCTCCATTCATTGTTACTTCGAGACTGCCCGC